AGGGGTGGCCAACGCATTGCGATATAACGCACTTTTATCAATTAATCGAATTGAAACAGGACTTCAATTTGATCCGTAACAAGAGACCACTTATTTTTTCTTATTCGTGTTCAAAAATATGTGTTTTTTATGTGCGGCGCAGCCAAAGGTGCCCTCAACTGGCCGCCATGTTTTAGTTTCAATTCCTCACAGCGAATCGGCAATCGCGAAGAGGGAGTTCCGCTTCTATAAGTGTAGAATTCTGTGGTTCTATGCTATTTCTCAGTCACTAGGTCATATTTTTGGAATTTCTCTTGAATGCAAAGCTTAAAAATATTATTATTATTTTTTTTTTTTTAAGGTTGGCTGTCCATCATGAGCAGTGCACATCTTCACAAACCCACCAAGATGGTCAATGGGCTGTCCGTGTACTACTCTGGGGAAATTGCTGTGATTGTGATGGACTGCGGAGAAAACAGACTGAATATCCAGTTTTGTGAAGCCTTGCTGAGCCTTCTTGATGATGTTGAAAAGTGAGACTAGCAGAGCTTTGCTATTAAACTCTCCATGCCAGGTTCATTTGCTGTAGACTGACATCTGATGATGTGTGATAGAAGGCCAAGTCTAATGTATAGTGAAATTCATTTATAAAGCAATATTGGGCCTGTAAAATGTTACTGTAGACAAATGAGCTTTCAGTAAGGGAAAAACTCAGAATTTACTTCAAAACATTGTTCATAATATATTTTCAGTTCAAACATACACATAACAAATTCAAATGCCACATAGAAAGTCCAAATTACACCTAGCAAATCCAAATATACAAATGACGTCATAAAAGTCCTAATACAACAATAGCAAGGTCATTTCAAATGTAAACATATAAATCTCAAATGTAACACATAGCAAATTCCAATGCCACATAGCTATTTCAAATGTACATATATATGCTTGAACTGGAGAAAAAGGAGGCTAAAAGTACAAGAAGTGTATCAAGGTAAAAAAGTTAGGATTTTTTGCAACGAAAAAGATATATGTAAGCCATATGGTGCCACTAAGAAGAAATCAGGTGAAACGAAACTAATTGTTAAATGTTTTAAAAACCCGAAAATAAACCCACATGTTTAAACAGAAACGAACGGTTATGATAAAAATTAACAGACTGTTGGTGTATATATAGAACTGATTGGATGAAATGTAAAGCCAAGTTTACTTTTACATGTTACTTATTCTTGCACTACAAAATGTTGTGGCATACAGGCTTGCATTGATCGGAAGACTGCTGCCATTTTCACTATAGTCACGGCTTGGGTTTTTTATTCCATCAATTTTCAAGTGTTACCATCCTTTGTTGATGAGTCTGCTGAGTGATCCTTTAGTCTCTTGCTTCAGTGAACATCTGTTTCAAATCATATGTCCCCAAAAATTAATTTTTAAACAGTGAAATGGTATAGGTTTAACACCCCTATCAACTCAATTAGGTTATTTAAGAAGCAGGACCTCCGAGATCAACGTTTATCTCCAAAAGGACCAATCCAAATGGGAAATTCGTGTAAAGTGCCTTTCCCAAGGACACAACGCCGGACCGAACTGAGGCTCAAACACCCCAAACCCTAATCTCACGATTACAGATCCGATAACCTAACCACAGGGCTACCCTCGCCGGTGAATCCTATTTCCAAATTAGGAAACGTTTTCAAAAAAGTTTTCACAAATGGTAAGACAAGGTATGCAGGTGGCAAGATATTTCACTTCGAGTCTATTTGACGAAACAAAACTGTTAAATGAAGCAGACAATAAGAATAAAAATGGAAATGAAAAATGAACAAGTGCAAAAAAGAATAATAATCTGAAGACTGCTGCCATATTCACTCTAGTCACGGCTTGGGGGTTTTTTCCCGTCATCTGAGCAAGTGTGACCATCCTTTGTTCAATGATGAGTTAGCTGAGTGAGCATTTGGTCTCTTGCTTCAGTTAGCCTCGATTTCAAATCGTGTTTCCAAATTCACAAGCGTTCTCGTAGATGTTAAGAAGAGGTGTGTAAGGGGAAAGATATTTCACCCCCAGTCTATTAGCGAGTTGCCATTTAAAGCTTGCCTTTGTGCATGAGCATTGTTACATACAACGCATACTTGATTGTGGGGATTGTTGAAACATTTTCTTAGAGGGATGGGTTGAAACGAAAGCTGCCATTCCCTCTTATTGAAAGTCGTGAAAGACCAGGCCACCCTCGTCAGTGATAGCAAATGTCATTGTGCAGTTCGGTCCCCTTCGACCCTGCTCTTCCGGAACAAAGCATAGACCACTCCGTGTCTTCCTCGGTTTCTCTTCGTTAACAGCTGTCTTACTTGTCCACTGTGTTGGGGTCACTGCTGTCGGAACATGTCCATCTCTGCTCTCCCCCCCTCTTCAGGATCCATCCCAGAGTCTGTCTACTTATAGTTTCCATCATGATCTGGTTGGAGATCTGTCGTTAACAGCTTGATACCAGCCTTATCGTTAAAGTCCAATTCATACCGCTAAATGTTCTGCATCAGCCATGCTGCATATTGATGTCTGGTTGCTTCAGTCCTATCAGAATTTCTTTCCGCAGGAGCATCCTTGGGATTTTATTTTTATGGTGATCCATTCACCGTAAAATTAAACTACTTATATCGTCAACTCAGTTTGAGCACATTAAAAATGCTTCTCAGGCATTTGAACTGCTATTGTGTTACATTTGGATTTGCTATTTGTTCATATGAACTTGTTAGCTCTACGCTCAATCGTGCACTAAAATTTCCTATTGTACATTTGAACTTTCTATGTGGCGTGAAGCTTTTTATGTGGCCTTTGAACTTGCCATGTGGCATTTGTATTTCTTATTTGTACAGTAAATCTAAAAAAACAACTATACGCACTTTTTTCAGACTTTTAATTTCTGCGAGTACAATTATTGGCAAGCGCCAAGGGATTTATATTTTATTCTATAAATGATTTGTTCCATTCTCAGCAAAGTAGTACATAAAAGACTCATCTGTGTTTTTGTTTTTTTGTTTGTTGTTTTTTTAAACTGTTAGTTATAGTGACTTATATGTTGTGAACTTGAGATATTTGGGATTACAGGGGGTGGGGGCCGCTTGATGTCAGATGTAAAATTTGTGAGAAAGTGGCTACCAAAGTTTGGTAAATTCCAAAGCTACAGTATCCTTGGAAACTTAAATTCTACTTAATTTATGCCTTTTATCAACACTTTCATTCAGACAGAAATCTATTTTTAAGAAGGTGTTGAACCAAGTAAAGAATATTCAATAAAAATTGCTCAGCTAGTGGTAAATTAATGTTGGTTTCTTCAATTTCATTATTTTGACAAAGGCCTGATTTCTCCACAATACTATACAAATTATGTCAAAAACATTTTCCATCTTGGACATGGAAATTTAAGGAGGAGGGAGGGGAAAGGGGGAGGGGAGAGCCAGCGCATATTGGGCGGGATTACGGGTCGCCTGTCTAGTCTGCAAGCAGTGGTCAAATTAGTCAAAACTTCCTACCTCCCAGGTGCTATCCTAGCCTCTCTGATAATGCCATGCGTCAGTCTTACTTAAGGGGGAGGGCTACACCTGAAGGCTATCTCGCTTATTACTGGAACAAATTTTACCAAATTTCACACATAAAGATCTAACAAGCATTGTGAGGAGTCTAATCTTATCTTAAAATCTGCAATCAAACTTGACCCCCCCCCCCCCCCCGATGGGTTGGGGGTATATAAATAGACCCACTATCCCGTCTGTAGAAGATGAAACCCCTCCAGTGAAGAAGTGTCGCACGGACCTCAGCTCTCTGGGATCCGGTGCGACGCCTACTTTGGTGTGTATGTTCCTCTGCTCCTTCCTTCTTTCTTCTTCCGCCGCCGACCTCATGTAGAGCAAAACTAGAGGTCACCCATCCCACAGGTTGGGCGCCTCGTTAATAATAATAATAAATAGCATTTGTATAGCGCATATCCCCGCTCAACAGCAGGCTCTATGCGCTTTGCTTCCCGGGAAGCATACAGTGCAAGCAGCTGATTAAGCGCTCAAACACTAACAAACTGACAAGATCTTTCGCTGTCTATAGCCGGGTACCCATTTCCACCTGGGTGAAGTGAGGAAAATTCGTGTAAAGTGCCTTTCCCAAGGACACAACTTGGGGCCCTGACGGGATTCGAACCCACGACCTTACGGTTGCGAGTCCGAGAGCCTAACCACTAGGCCACCGACGCCACGTTAACCATGATGTGCGACCTGTGCGGAGGGAAACCGGGTACCTGGTGGTTGAGGTGAGATCAGTATGTGGACTATCCCTCACCAACACACCTCTTTGGCCCAGGTTTTCCTCTTAGACGGGAGGGTGACATGGCCCATGCCACTCAATCGGTTGGGAGCTAAAACCCCTTCAGGCCCTGGGTCAATCTTGACAGGAGGGTCTTCTACACTCTCGTGAAAGGTATAACTCCGGGGTAGCCCTGGCACAGCTCTGGCTATCCGAGTAATGTGCCCCCTTGTTGTACTCGATGTCGGGTTGGAAGCCCTGGCGCTGAACCATCTACATGTCTCTTATGGAATGTTAACAACCTAACGACCCTTCCCCAGCTCCCAACGTTCTAAAAAAGTCTCGGCTCGCGGAAGCGGGTGCGGCCGCCGAGCCGAGCAAACCCAAAGGCAAAATGACCTGTCCCCGTAGGATTATGCGATTGTGCGGCCGCGGATTCACGTAATTCTGCACATTTGCATAATTTTGTATTCCCCACGTTTTTTCACGTTTTTTTCCTTTTTTTAAAACAAAACAATTAATTTTATTGATCAACGCCTCGTCATGTGACTAAAGGGAAAAAATCACCGTAATAAGTCTTATTTAAGTGAAAAGTTGGTTATTTCCCTTGGTAGAAGATCTTGGTTATG